ATTAACAACTCATATATTGTGCACTAAAAATGTTTGTAAAAGTCCACATGCGGGTGATATAGGCGCATAGATTTTGTGCTTTCAGAGTCATAATGACTCGAAAATTAACGAATAACGAAATTATATAACAGTATGTTAACTAGGGAAATTATGATTATGCTCTTTCTTCTTATTTAAGATAAACACAAGAAACTTGTGCTGTAGAAAAAAATTGTTACATTTATATTATGAATTAGACATACAGTACTTATAGACACTCTTTGGCACTGCTGTAATTTCTGAAAACATCTGGACACTTTTTACGAAAAAGAAATTCCCTTTAGTACCCACCAACTAGGCTGGTATATCTGTCAAAATCCATAACATTCCCCTTATTATTAGCCACAATGATTCAGCATGTATCTGGACTCTGTGTTGTGAACTGTACTGACCCTTTTCCCCCCATCTTAAAAATGGAATTCACTAAATAGTTACCAGGGATCAATCTATAAGGTTTACGTCCACAACAGCTCATAGGAACATTTCAAAATACAGACAAGGACAAATGTACAGTGTATGGTTTTGGGTAACGTGTGAAGACTAGGAGATTTGATTTGCATTAACATCATCTAATATATTGAATGGTACCTGTGTGTATCTATCTTTTATAGTTAACATGCTTTCCCCTTTTTTATTTTCTCATTATAGGGCTGTTGATCATTATCAAACATTGATAACACCAAAAGTGATATGTCTATTTATTGTTTCATTACTCTTAACAAAGTATCTTCAGTATTTTTTTGCCTCTCTCAAGTATCTAATAAACTAGCAATTGTTATTTGCCCCTTTATGTTCTGTGTTCAGTGTGTTGCAGTGATTCATTTTAGTTTGTTTCTTAATAACAACTGAGGCACTGCTTTAAAGTGGCTTCCAAGATTATACCTATTTTTAGTCAATAATATTGATAATTTATTTACCTAGTCATTAAGTGTCGATAGGTGCAATATTTACTTCATTTGTTCTTAACAGCTGTGTGTCTTCTGTAATATTGGTACGTGTTTCTGGAAGGACATCAATGTTTTTGGCTCATTTGACAGCTATGATGACGATGCAAATGTAACCGGGAATGCTACATTATCAGATAAGTAAACATGGCCCTACCCCTTCCAGGAAAGATGACATGACCATCAGTATGCAAATTGGGACAAGTCAATGTAAGACCAGGGACTAAGATATGTAAATAGTAATACAAGTAAATACGAATACTTCCATCAACCCGTCTGTTTATTTATCAGGGGTTTGTTATTAGGATTAGCTTTAGGGCCTGAGTGCATCACTGCAGTCTGCCCTGCCTTTTGAAAGAATGCCGGTTGGGGGCGCTTAAGTCACAGACTTGACTCAAAGGTAAAATGATGAGTGAAATTGTAAATATAATGTGTAAAACAAAAAAAAAAGTGTATATGATGTCGAAAGTTGACGAAACAATCCAATCTCAAGGCTTAAACAGGTGATTGTTTTACCCTACAGGCTCTTGTGGCTGAAATGACAAAGCTATGACAAAAACAAACACTGGAAAAAAAAAAAATCACTTGCTTCCCAGGTATGAGGCAGGTGAAAAAAAAAATCCCAGTAGCCTCTTGTGGCCGAAATGAGTATTGCAAAAACTTATTTTCTCACTTTTCTCAGGGCTTCCACACATCTATTAGAAAGTGGTTCTTGAAATCCACTTATCTTAAGCTGCCTATAAAAGCGGCAGATAAACTGTTGGTAAGGTATGTATGTGTGTGCTTGTTGGTTTTGAGGGGCCAGCCCATACTGTTGCACACACACACACACACACACACACACACATACACACACACATACACACACACACACACACACATATAAACGCGTATCTCCCAGATGAGGGCTCCAGTTGCGTGTCGTCGCTCTCGGTGATCTCGGTTAGTTAATTTCTGTTCAGTCTCTGTTTCCCCTCAGATTTGTGTCTGAACAGCGGGATTGGGGATTGATTATCGTTGCCTTCTTGCATCATTTTCGCAGCCCACGCCGTCTGCAGTCAGTTCTTCATATTCTTACTCACCGCTCATTTACATGACTCCATCCACGCCGGGTGATTTTTACTCAGGGGGAGGACAGCGTTTCCTGCGGTGCTTGAAATTAATGCTCGCCACTGAATGACAGGATACATGGAGCAAACACAAGCCTGCGCATGTGACAAACTTGTGCAAGGTAGGGAGAATAGTAGACTCCAGAAATATGTGCACATATTCTGTATTGCCACTGCTGAAACCAAATCTACCCTATGCACAAACGTGCAGGGAGCTTCATCAATTGTATTTATTTTGAAAATGGAGGAATTATACATCTTGTTTAGGGGTTACACTCCCATCTTTGCATCGCTCACCTGAGACCTTTTTGCTAAGGAGACAGTTCACTGGGGATTTACCTGCTGCTTCGTTTAATTAAAGCTTGTCTGAACAGAAAAGAAACTTGACACCACTTTGCTTTGTGTGTTGCCTCAGATGTAACTCCAGTGTGCATGTATTGCAGACTCTGACTCATTCCTTCACCACATTCACTCCACTACTGTCCCACTACAAAATGCTCAGCTCCACACTTGTCAGTGTAATTAGTTGATGGATGGTTCTCCATGTGTCTTTTAGGGAAACCCTCGGGAGGTCCCAGGAGAAGATGGCATTCTGGAGGAGAAATACTAATGTTGGTAAGACAAAATTTCCTTTCTTTATCCATTTTCATGTCTTTTATACAACCAGGTAAATTTTTTTTTATTTTTTTTCAAGAAAGAACTGGTGAAGAGGACACCATAAAAACATTGTTTCAGCAATGAATAAACAACATAATACAATGTCCAGTGAATGAAACGTAGGCTATGGTTTTTAAAATATCTTCAATCATGTAACTGGTTAAAATTGACTTGAGGGGACAGACCTTGTTTCTTCCTCTCTCAGGCAGGTATACTCCTCATCCTGTCCTGGTGCACTGCACTGGTTTAGAGAGATAAAATAAAACTGTATACAGCAGCCTCTCTCTGTCTTCCGCTCTATGTGGGTGTGTGTCTGTGTGGTCCGTCTTTTTCTTTGTGCTTTACAGGGAGGGGATGAAATTCAATCATATTTCAATTCCTCAACTATTTGTGTTACCATCCTTTTGGGGGGAGAGATGTTCCGCAGCTACTGAAACTGCTCATCTAAAAGCTGTATTGATGTTAGACTCATGACGAATATGGTTTGAGTTATTTCCTGAAGCCGCTGCGAATAATTTCACTGCATGATCTCCCTGTAAGATGTTCGGACTTGCAGGCTTACTCAAGAGTCTGCTGAAATTTCCAGTAAAATAAAGAAAAAGCTCTTTCAGAAATCAGATCAGAGATAACTTTTTGCTGTGGTAGAAAAATAATGTTGAATTTATACATCTTCTAATTGAATGTTTAAGCAGACCGAAGCCCTTGGACAACAAAAGCCTTTTTTAAATAATTAATTGTCATAGTAATTGATAGCAGGATGAGAACAGTCTGTTGTGTGAGAAGGTCTATCCTGTTGCAGCTCTCTGCATGTGTATTATGCATAATTCAACAATGATTTAACCTCGTTTGGAAACAACAGATCCAGCTCCGTGCTCCCTCAAGCATTGCTGTGTGTGGAAAGACGGTGCGCTTTGACAAAATATGTCATCATCTCGGAGGTGTATTTATTTTATATTGTATTGTTTATGAGTTTATATGTTACCTGTTGGAACTGTTTAAGAAAGCATGGCCAAGCATGGCCAAGCATGATAATGACGCCTAAAGCATCACCTTGATGTATGAGCCATTAGATGAATGAAGAGGTTGTAATTGCGGACGAAGTGTTCTGTTCTTGGCTAGAAAGGACAGGCTCAGACAGGCTCTTCCAGCTGTAGTTTATCAAAGCCATGAAGAAAGAGGTGTTATTTGAAGCTTTTACTTACTCAGCCAGATGTCATGGTATATTCATGCCCATCATAACCATGTCGTACGTGGGATATGACATGATGAGTGATACTGTGTGGAAGAACCATAATAGTATACCAAATGCCACAATAGTAAACAAGAGAGATAGCTTTGAACATCCACAGAGAAGTGGAACCAAAATGAGATGACAAAATGTTGCGGGAAGTGTGTGATTATGACGTGTTACTGAATTCCAATAAGTGATGAGTTATTGAAAAGTTTCCACTTAACTTGTTACATACTGAGCTTCAAAGGTGGCGGGCTAACTGTTTCCGCCTGTGTCCAGTCTTTACGCTATGATAACCGAACTGACTGCTGGCTGTAGCTTAACCTGTACCGTTCAAACATGAGAGCGATCCCAATCTCTTAACTGTCAGCAAGAAAACAAAATGTTATACTTCTCCATAATTGTGAACTATTGCCATGATGATGTCATCAAGGTAATTTTGGATTCGCTTGAAATTTTAAAAAGCCAGCATCACAAACTAGATGAGTGGAGTTTGAAAGGAGGAAGCATTTAGGCGGCGGAGAGGGTCTAATGAAAGACACTAACAAGTGGAGTAAGGGGAACATAAGCTGCAGTGCTTTTGGACTATAATAGGGACTAAAATTTGGATATCTTGGCTTCTGCTCCTTCAGTTGTGATCATTCTTTTTAATTTTAGTCTCTTGTGAATCCCTTTGCTTTATGAAAGTGCAGCATAAGGTTTACCCTTTAATAAAAATGTAGGGAGTGAATCTGTGTCTGAAGTAATTAGAACCTGAGAGGGAGACACTGAAATCACAATAAACCACGAAGAATGAGTGAATATCCTGCTCCAATCAAAAGCTGACATTTTGTCTCGTCATAGCAGGAAAAGCACAGGTGTTACCAACATTAACAATGGCTCTTTCTGTTCAGGTGTCCCAGTAAGTTATGACAATGTCAGGATCCTGAAACTAAAGCAGCTAAATTCAGCCATCATTCATTTTATTACTGAGGTTTTCTCACTGTGATCCATTAAAATATCTTCAGTGAAAAAGGCCGGATGGCAGGTGAAATAACAAGAGATATAAATGACCGGCAGACTGACAAGAGGGCAAAAAGGGTGAAAATGTTTTGCATAAACTGTAAGAAGGAAGTGCAAACCTATTTCATTACAGTCCTGCCCATTTATTAAAAGATACAATAAAGATATATATATATTTGCATTCCCTGTGGAAATTAAAATCTGCATTGTTTCAAAGCTTCTACATCTGATGAGATTCATTCTGCCTCAGTGGATTAAAGAAAAACCCCTGACTACATGGCTGTGGTGCAGAGACACGTATGAGGCTCCCCAGTGGAAAGTCTCACTGCTAGGCACATGAAAATTCACTTTATAACACCTTACAAATTGTATTACACGTACTAGTATTTTAATGAGATCTCATCTCACAAAACTAAACAAAATGAAATGTTTAAATGCACTGATACCAGGAATGGGCCTGTGTAAATCTCTTTCCGACTATGTTTGATGTTTTGTTATAAAGAAGTTATAAATAGTGTGATATTAAAAGAGAAAGAGAGCTGTCATCTCTTTCAGGTTCATGGAGTTGTAGTCAAAGGGTGAAGATAATAGCAAGTCACAAGCGCAGGTGAAGAGAATACACAGAACATAGCTTCCTCTTACAGTCTATATATGAAAACCAACAAAAAATGGTGAAAACAGAGGAGAAACTAAGTCTGAAGTATTGCATTTATTTTATTCATGTGTAATTTTATCAACTTGTTGATAATGACAGTGTGTTCTCTGTGTGTAGAGAAGGAACGCCATGTAAAAGCCAATGCGCGGGACTACAATGACAAGTTCTCTTATGCCGTGAGTAGACCTTAACATTGCTTTAGGTTCACATCAGCCACAAGTTCAGGCTCATCAGTGCTGTTTCTAAACATGTCTGTCCCAGGACAATCACATCAAAACCTCAAAGTACAACATCTTCACCTTCCTGCCCATCAACCTGTTTGAGCAGCTCCAGAGGGTGGCCAATGCTTACTTCGTAGTGCTGTTGATACTGCAGGTGAGAGAGTGTTTGTGGGGAAAAATCCGCTGTCTCACGTACTTTTCCTGAATGAGTGAGTGGACTAACCTGGACTTTTCTTTTCACATAGTTAATTCCAGAAATATCCTCTCTGTCCTGGTTCACAACCATCGTGCCTTTGGTGTTGGTGCTGGTCATCACGGCCGTCAAGGATGCCACAGATGACTATGTAAGTTCATCTGTTTTATATTTACAGCTCCTCTAAATGCTCCTGTTTCTTCCCCCATGGAAAAAATTGTTAAACCCTTTTTTTTTTTTTTTTTAAACCTCAGTTCCGACATAAGAGCGACAAGCAAGTCAACAACCGCCAGTCTCAGGTTCTCATCAAAGGAAGGTATTTAAATGCTTTGTTTAGCCGCTGCTTAAAGCACAAGTGATTGTACATACTGTATATGTTCAATGACACTTGTCCAGATTGATTATGAGCTTTTGTGCTTTTTGTTTTCCAAGTTTGCAGAATGAGAAATGGATGAACGTTCGAGTAGGGGATATCATCAAACTAGAGAATAATCAGTTTGTTGCTGTGAGTAAACCGTGCGACTACATTGTGTGCCATGCTAATTCATTTAGAGAGGAATGCCTTTTTTTATTTAGTTGCATCAGCTATTAGAGGAAGTTTATAACAGATGAAATAGATGGAGAAGGTTGACGATTAAAGGTCTCTTTTGGGAGATTCAGAGGCCGCTGAGTGATCTTTTACAGGTTCAGTGGTGCAGACATTGATTTATTGCCTTTTCTCACCACTGAGTGTTTCATATTGGTTTTACACACAGGCTGACATCCTCCTTCTGTGTAGTAGTGAGCCCTATGGACTGTGCTATATTGAGACTGCAGAGCTAGATGGGTAAGTGCTGCACTGGTTATGTAAAAAGTAAAAATTTCTACCGTTCTATGTCACCACAGAAGGATTTTCTATTCCCATTTGCCCTCACAGAGAGACTAATCTGAAAGTCCGTCAGGCTTTGACCATCACCTCAGATTTGGGAGATATTTCTAAACTGATGGACTTTGATGGTGAGGTGATGCTTGAAATATTTATTTTGACAGTTGTGCAACAAATCGTGTGTGGACTCCTCAGGCTTTCTGCATGTGGCTGTATGTGATTTTTGTTGTATGAACGAGTGTCTATGAATTTTTTTTTTTTTTTTTGCAGTAACAACTGTTGTTGCGTGAATCTCTTTCTACTGTATTCCTCAGGAGAAGTCATTTGTGAGCCACCAAACAACAAGCTGGATAAATTTACAGGAACATTATTCTGGAGAGACAATAAATACTCTCTAGATAATGAAAAAATGCTGCTGCGTGGTTGTGTGCTCAGAAACACTGAGTGGTGCTTTGGGATGGTCATATTTGCTGGTATGATGGTTTTATTTTGATGCTTTCATTCACCACATCCATTAGCCTTGTCTGTATTTTCTTGTGTATTTCTTTTTTTTTTCGTTCATGTTGTCACACCGATGTTTGTTTCCTGTTTGTCGAACAGGGCTGCAAACCAAACTGATGCAGAACTGTGGAAGAACAAAGTTCAAAAGGACAAGTATTGACAAACTGATGAACACTTTGGTTTTGTGGGTAAGTCCAACACCACCTCTTCATGGTAACTTGCACGGTGCACTTTTTTGACTATTTTTTTTCCCTGAAAGGCACTGCCCACCTGCACAGGTGTTTTCACTTATTACGGTTAGTTAGACCTCTACTCAGGGGTTATGTCAGGTCATTTGTACCAACACAAATGAAGAGTAAGTTGCCCCCACCTAATGGGTGCAACAAAACTAACAGAGAGTGAGGGACATGTCAATCAAACATAGTCTGTGTGCACCCACACAGACCTGAGAGGAAGAGGTCTAATCAGACACGGCAAGTGAAAACAACTGTGTACTGTGAGTGAATACTATGAGTTATAATTGATATGATGGTCACATGTATAAAACACATCTTTCAAAATGATTCTGTATTCCAGATCTTTGCCTTCCTCATCTGTATGGGAGTTATTTTGGCCATTGGAAACAGTATTTGGGAGAGTCGCATTGGCAGAAACTTCCAGGTGTTTCTGCCGTGGAACCAGATTCAGAGCAGCGCTGGTTTCTCTGGCTTCCTCACCTTCTGGTCCTACATCATCATCCTCAACACTGTGGTGCCCATCTCACTGTATGTCAGGTAAGGTCAAGGAACATATAGTTATTTTCCAAGGTCTAAAATGTCAATCATTTTACTTTGTTCAAGCAGTGGTCATTTTATTTTGAAAATAATTCTTTCAATTTGGCAAATGATTTCCTGTTGGGAGTTGTACAATAAAATGTATGAACCTTCCTTCAGTGTGGAGGTTCTGCGTCTCGGACACAGTTACTTCATTAACTGGGACCGGAGGATGTACTACAGACGGACGGACACTGCAGCTGAAGCTCGCACCACCACCCTGAACGAGGAGCTGGGCCAGGTGGAGTTCATCTTCTCTGACAAGACCGGCACCCTCACCCAGAACATCATGGTATTCAGCAAGTGCTCCATTAACGGACAGACGTATGGTATGGTATAATACTCATCCTTTTCTAAAGTCAGTCTCTTACTAAAATTGGAAAACGGAAAGAGAAAATAATATTTAATTCAAGCATGGAATTTCCCACTTCATCAAGTGTTTTTAAGTGGCTGCGATAAGGCAGACACCTCCATCACACTAGTGGAAGACCCTGGAAGACCGCAATGATGGGCTGATATTCAAAAATCTGTCAAAACTGTCACGAGACACCTTATTTTAAATCCTGCAAATCCAAACTAAAACAATTGCATCCTATTGTTTTTAAGTTAGTTTGATATTTTTCTCATGGCGAAAAGGTTATTTCAGAGGTCTGCCAATACTACCGTGAAACACCATAATAAAAACACTGGATTACTATAATTATGTATGCTATAAGGATGGTCAAACGTAATGTGTTTGATTTCAGGGCATAACATTTACTATCACTATAAAAAAAATCTATTACTTTGATCAATAACAATCAAATAACCAATCACAGCGGCTGAGCTGTGTTTCTGTAATCTTCGACTCATTACATCACCTGGTGATCTCTTAGGTGACGTCTATGATGAATTTGACCAGAAGGTGGAAATTACAGAAGTAAGTAAAGCTAAACAACCAGAAACACTAACTCTCTAACGCTGTCATATATAATTATTACATTTCATTTTCTTAATCTCTAATGTCCCTTCAGAAAACATCCTGTGTGGACTTCTCCTTCAACCCTCTCTGTGACAGAAGGTTTAAGTTTTACGACGGCAGCCTGATTGAAGCCATTAAACTGGAGGATCCTGCAGTGCAGGAGTTCTTCAGACTGCTGGCTTTGTGCCACACTGTGATGCCAGAGGAGAAGAGCGAAGGTAGCACACACACACAGTCCAGGAGATGTAGCAGCAATAACAGCAGTTACTCAGTTTATTAAAGTGTTTCCTGTCTGATGTTTCTGTTAACATGAAGGACATTTGGTGTACCAGGCCCAGTCGCCTGACGAGGGAGCGCTGGTCACCGCAGCGCGAAACTTTGGGTTTGTCTTCCGGGCTCGAACCCCCGAGACCATCACAGTGTGTGAGATGGGACGAGCTGTCACCTACCAGCTGCTGGCCATACTGGACTTCAACAACGTGCGCAAGAGAATGAGTGTCATTGGTTAGGTCTTCACTCATAACGGCAACGCTCAAGTTCACTCTCTAGTTCTTAGTTGTCCACACAACTTTTCGTGCACATTAATAATCTAATAATCTGTTAATAATGTAATGAATCAAATTCAACAGTCATTCTATTTCTCTACTAACTTCTTATTTAATATATTTGGTCCCACTTTCTGATGAGACACCATTTATACAAGCTTTATAAACTGTAATTAATGGTTTTATCACTTGTTAATAAATCATTAACTAATGCTTTATAGAAGTGGTTCTTAAACCTTTTCACTTCAAGGTGCCTTAAACTGACACAAATTAGACCACGGACCCCCACCTGATAAGATTTTTGCTTTTAGAAAGTGTTTGAAACCCATGACCACGTGGCAATCAGTACCAAATCTTTATTTTCAAATAGCATGAAGTTTCAGTTTCTACGTACATGTGTGCATCTGTTTGCGGTCTGTAATGCTTCTGTGTTGTTTAACGGCTGATAAGATGTGATCAAAAAAGTGATGTTGTTTGTTCCTGTGTCTTATAGTGAGAAATCCACAAGGCCAGATCAAACTTTACTCCAAAGGAGCCGACACTATTATCTTTGACCGGCTGGATCCATCCAGTGAGGACCTCATGTGCACTACGTCAGAGCATCTCAGTGTAAGTGTTACTTGATTCAATAACTTGACTGTGCACTATGCACTCTCCATCTGTATGTATAGCTTCATTAAAATCTAAAAATCAATGCACCACACAAGGTTACCAAAAACATCAATGTGATGAGAGTGGTGATAGTTTCATCAACATTTCAGAAATGGTTGGATTCAGATTGCATTAGTGTCTCTACTGAAAACATACTATACAAGTATTGAATATGGAGTCATCCGTCACAGCTGCACTGTAGATGCTACTATTATTACACAAGTCATAGTGCTTTATATTGTTGCACACCAGAATTTGAGATTGCTTCCCCTGCAGGAATTTGCTGGAGAAGGGCTTCGAACATTAGCTCTGGCCTACAAAGACCTTGATGAAAATGACTTTGAAGTTTGGATGAAGAAGCTTCTGTTTGCCAGCGCTGTCATTGAGAACCGCGAGGATCAGCTGGCTGCTCTCTACGAGGAGATCGAGCAGGGCATGAAGGTACAATTGACATCCTTTTGTTTACATCCTTGAAGCCATCAAACTCATTTGGCCCCTGCAGACTGACTACTGCTCTGCTTGAAGCTTCTAGGAGCCACAGCAATAGAGGACAAACTCCAGGAAGGAGTCCCAGAGACGATCGCCTGTCTAAATCTGGCCGACATCAAGATCTGGGTCCTCACAGGAGACAAACTAGGTAACGTAATTCACCTAAATTATCTTATTTACCAGAAAAAGAAACCGGTGCTTTAATAACAGGTTACCCATCTGTGAAACACTACAGAGCTGTAAACTGTGTGTGACATTTCAGAGACCGCCATGAACATCGGCTACTCCTGCAACATGCTGCGAGACGACATGAATGAGGTGTTTGTTATCTCTGGCCACACTCTGCTGGAGGTGCAGCAACAACTCAGGTGACACATTATACATTTACATACATTATACACGTCTCCTCACACAACAGGCTGATAGTTTAGTGCAAGCAGGTTGCAGAGGAAATCTGCTGTGCCACTGTGTTTATGGCCCCATTAGTGGAAAATCTACTCATGTCTAAAATATTAGAAATTCTGTGTGTATGACTAATATTTTATCCAGCCAACTGAGAGAACTCTGTACACACTTGATGGATTTTAGAAACAGACTCAAAGTGTATGTTAACTTGCTTTTCTCTCTTGTCAGGAGTGCAAAGGAGCACATCCTCAGCCTGAGTCGAGTTAGCAGCGCGGGAGATGTCGAGAAGACAAATATGCTTTCAGATGACTCTGTGTTTGAAGAAACCATTATTGCAGAGTACGCCTTAGTCATCAATGGACACAGTTTGGTAAGATACTCCGATATGTCACGTTATATGAAAGGATAACTCTATCCTCTGTCACGCTTGGGGTTTTTTTTTCCCATGCTTGTTTTTATTTTGGTACAAACACCTGCAGGTGTTACTAAACGGTGGTAGTGTTGCCATGTGCTGAGTCTTACATCTCTGTGGCTGCCGCTGACTGTGCTGAGTCTGTAATGAACAGAGAGCTGCTGTGCTGCTGAGGGCCCTCAGCTCTATTACAGGTTTTTAATAACATCCATTTCCTCACAGGGGAGCTGCTCCCTCGCTGTGCCTTGAGTAGTGTGCATGATGCACAACAGCTCGGTGGAGATGTTACACTGAGCTGCTGCTTGGTGTTGCCTCTGCAGGGGGTTGATGTTATAGGACGGTAATGATAGGCTGAACGGGTGTGATGTGTGTGTTCTCCCTGCAGGCTTATGCTCTGGAGCCACAGCTGGAGCACGTCTTGCTGGACTTGGCGTGTTTGTGTAAAGCGGTTATCTGCTGCCGGGTCACTCCGATGCAGAAAGCTCAGGTGGTGGAGCTGGTGAAGAGGCACAAGAGGGCGGTCACACTGGCCATAGGAGACGGAGCCAATGATGTCAGCATGATCAAGAGTAAGTCACAGGATCGTCATAAACCCAAGAGTTTGACACATTGAAACAGCCCCTCAGTAGCAGCAACATGAAGCACAGCCTCAGTTTGTGTCTCTCATGTATTAGTCACAGAGCTTCTTCCTTTGAATATATATATATATATATATCTGATGATGTTCATTTAACAACCAAAACAATCCTCCGAGACTCTTCTAACTGTCTGCATAGGAAAATAATCTGTTTCCTGTCACATGAAAAAGATTCTTTAAACAGTTGTTTACTGTGTTTACAAAAAGAGCAATGACACATGAATTTCCAGTGAACTGGATAGGAAATCTCAACTTGACAAACAGGTTAAAACGTTTTTTATTGTGCAGAAACAGAATGTTTTTTTTAAATTCACATGGTTAGAAGAGTCCTAGATGATTCTCTACAGACCTTAATAACCGCAGGAAGTGTTGTTAAATGACTTGCTGTTTTTTTTCAAAGATTGTTGTGGATATTTTTGGGGGAAAATCAGATGCTTAGTTCTCTAGCTCAACTGTACACTGGCACAAACTGGGACGACATGAAGCATTGCAGCAGTGAGTTGAGCTGAAGCTGCTCTGTGTCGTCAGGCTCCGCTGACACTAAATCCATGATGAAAGTCTGCAGGTCAATAACTGAAGGTCAATAACTGTCACACAGTAGAGACTAATTCTGTTGCAGTCAGCAGCTTTCTGTCTTACGTAACTCCTCTGTAGCTGAAACCTGGACAGGCAATAAGAGTTTTTTTTAAATTTCTTTGACCACATAAATGTAATATATACTCATAAACATATCTGTTTCATTTACATATAGAAAATATGTTTGTGTGTTTCTCAACTCATCAGAAAACAAAGTAAAGGCCTGTTTAACTTAAAAAAGGTTATCCATTGTATTAAAAGATCTATCAACCAATTATTAAGTGACATTAGGTATTAAATATATATAATATAGATGATCCACACTGTGTATTTCTTCCCCAGCTGCTCACATCGGTGTTGGCATCAGTGGTCAGGAGGGGACGCAAGCTGTTCTGGCATCAGATTACTCCTTCGCTCAGTTTCGGTACCTGCAGCGGCTCTTGCTGGTGCACGGGCGCTGGTCCTACTTCCGCATGTGTAATTTCCTGTGTTACTTCTTCTACAAGAACTTTGCCTTCACGCTGGTCCACTTCTGGTACGGTTTCTTCTGTGGTTTCTCAGCTCAGGTAAGAACAACTTTGACATATCATGAGGCCTGTCTGCTCTTTGAAAGTCTATCCTTTTTGTGTTGAGTGAATGATGTGTTTACCGTAACTGTGCTCTTTCCTCAGACTGTTTATGACCAATGGTTCATTACCCTCTTCAACATAGTCTATACATCTTTGCCAGTACTGTCAATGGGACTTTTTGATCAGGTAATAATGTTTAAAATGTGGTGATAATACAGCAGTGACTTATATATAGTCAATATCAAATTACCCAAATCTTTTTAAAGAAACTCTTCATTTCTAAATTTGGACTAAAGTCCATTTACTTTTTCAAGCTCCTGAGCCATCTTACGTTTTTTCTGTTTGTTTTTCTTTTCAAGATACTGTCAAGTCATGCAGGTGAATATTTTATTACTGTACACCTCTCTTACTGTGTCATGATAAATAAACCTCACATGGTACCTTATTATCTAACCCTACTGTTGGTACTGCACTAAATTCAACTTATGTGTGACTGGAACCTCAAACCTAATCGACCCTAACTCACATCAATATACAACACTGTATATTGTTCATATGTCATCTTCAGTTGCTAGTTCCACCAAGCACTAACTAACCTCAATACCTCACTTTTTCCCTAACTATTATATAAAATATTTCTAAATTACACTTGCATAACACTCATGCTGTCTCTGTTTTCTAAAGGATGTCAATGACCACAACAGCCTTCGCTACCCGAGCCTGTACAAACCCGGCCAACAAAACCTTCTATTCAACAAGCGCCAGTTTTTCCTGTGCACGCTGCAGGGGATGGGCACATCATTCCTGCTCTTCTTCATTCCTTACGGAGCCTTCTCCGTCATGGTGAAAGAGGACGGCTCCCACTTCTCTGACCAACAAGCATTTGCTGTTACCATAGCAACATCCTTGGTTATTGTCGTAAGTGTTCAGGTAAGAGTAAAAAAACAGATAAGAAATATCCCTGTTGATAAGAATGAATAACACTATAATTTTGTTTATGATGCACGTATCTGTTTTCAGATTGGACTTGACACACACTACTGGACAGCTGTCAATCACCTCTTCATATGGGGGAGTCTGACTGTGTACTTTGTCATTTTGTTTGCAATGCAAAGCAATGGCATTTTTGGCATCTTCCCAAGTAATTTCCCATTCATAGGTACGTTTGGCTCAGTGTGACATATGTAAAGAAATAATGTTGATGAATGGAAACTGAGCACAAGTAAATAAAGGTTTGTATTTTGTATTTCCTCAGGCACGGCCCGTAACTGTCTGCAGGAGAAGAGTGTATGGTTGGTCATTCTGCTCACCACTGTGGTGTGTGTTGTGCCCGGCTTAGCAGTCAGCTTCCTGAGAGTAGATCTCTTCCCAACTCTAACAGACAAGGTACAATATCAATCAATATCAAATCTGTGGAAAGTCAAAATAGTCCAGTCAAAGTCAGAATAATGAATACGCATCTGTGAAACCTCATCTGTGAACTTTTCTTCTTTCCTAAGCCATTAATCACATCATGATGCTCCAGATTTATCTTGACACTTTGATGATGGCCTGTACTCACTGAGCTGTATTTAGAAAAACTAACTCCACCTCAACCAGCTACAACAGTAAAATGCTACTTACACATTGATGTATCAGTATTGACAATCAAATAATGTCATATGTAATAATATGTCAGTCACAGTGGCCATTTTTCTGCAGAATGAGTATGAGTGTTACTCATGTGCGAAATTTTAGCTAAAAATACTTTGTCCATGATTTCAATGTCTTTTTTGATTATTAAGCAGGTCTACATTCTGTATTAATACTGTTGAAGAATCAAAGTACTGCTGTATTTCAACAGGTTTGTCACCTACAACAGTCCAGAAAGAGGCAGGGGCCTCAGGAGCGGAGCCTGAGGCGAGTACGTAGGACGAGCTCCCGTCGCTCTGCCTATGCCTTCTCCCACCAACAGGGCTACGGAGAGCTGATTACCTCAGGCAAAAACATGAGGACGAGCGCAGTGTCTTCTGCTCGCTCCCCTGAAAGAACACTGCACAGCACCAAGTGGATAGAAAATATGTTAAAGAGAAAGAACGAAGTCTCTTGCATCTCTGAAAGTACAGGAGCACCGGAGAGCAGCAACAGAGCAATACAGACTCCATAGCAACTGCACGCAGACTGAGCTCGACCTCTAACAGATACTATATACACTGTAGGACACCACATGCATGGAACCCAGAGACCAAGCACAAGGTATGAGTGTCTTTCATTTGGGTGAATTTATACTCAAATCCAACTACACAGATGTACTTCGTTTTTTTTTTTATTAGTGTGATTCATGTGGACACTGTTGAATGTTAAAAGCCAATTAAAACATGATCATGTAGAAGAACCACTTCTTAAAAAGCCAACTGATCGAAAACAGATAAAAGCAGAACTTTTTAACCTGCATCATGCAAAACATGTTTAATTTGCAAACTCTTGGCTCGACAATAGCAGGTATATTTTAGGACAATATTATGCATGTGTTGCAAAAGTTAAAGAAATATTTGTAGTCCTGCATTAACTGATCCAATTGAGTCTTAAAGCAGTAGGTGCATTCATTTAATACTATTTTAATAGCATGTCCTTGTCTGATTAATAAAAATGGTTGGCATTTTCTGGCACCTTGAGAGAAGCCTTTACCAATTTCAAACAAAGTTGTAATACAGAGGTGACAAAAGCAAAGGTAAAGGTAGCCACAAGCACCAGTAAGAAGGTTTATCAATAGACTTTAGTCTGTCGAGCCTATGTGTTAAAGCTTTCATCTCATCCTACATCCGAAGTGCTAACATACAAGTGTTTGTGTAAATACTTAAGTAAAGCTGCTGAATATGATGATAAGCACAACTTAATTACTCATTTAAATCTCTCATTACATTTTACTGTCTCCATAATTTACCATATGCCATTAAACAAACTGGAACCTCAAATGGGATTTATGATGCTTAGGGCATTTGTGGACAAGGATGTGCAAGAATCATTCTGAGGTCTGTTTTCCCTGTGTTGTGCCTTGTAGGGTTCTTGTTAAAAACAACCCATCGTTTTGATTTGATGTTTGATGGTTCTTTGAGTTAAGAGAAGGAAATGTGTGAAACTGGAATGCATGGCTTAAATCTGACACCCTCTCGAAAATGCTGTTTTAAACATTGCACAGTTGCTATGCAACATGTGAATGATCAATGTCAAACTCAATTTCAAATCATATAAAAACATAAATGTGTTTCTAGGCTACTTCCCCAAAATAAAAAAATACAGTGGGAGTTAGTATGACAAAGCTAAGGTATTTAAACCAACAACAGTTATATCCTCTTTTATCAGAATTTGAGTAGATATGTGATCAGAAAGAGTGAAGGAGGAACGCTGGGTGAGATATGATGTAATAAAGGCCCCTGAACAGATTCAAATGCAGAGTGCTGCAGTCACATTCAATACAGTACATTAGCATGTGCCTTAGCCCACCAAGCCCCCGCCATCACTGCTCTCTAATGAAGTGAAGATTGATCCTGTGCAGAAGCTCATTCTGATTTCCCAGTGGCTCTCTCACTCTCACACACACACACACACACACACACACACACACACACACACACACACACACACACACACACCTTTAACACAACACAAACCAGTCACACTGTAACAGCCAAAAGAAACGTGATGCTGTTCCACTGATGCACATGTAAAAAAAAAAAAAAAAAAATCCTATTTATTCTTGATGATTTTTGCCCTTGTTAATTAAATGTTGATCTCAAAAATGTTAATAAAAGACGGATGAATGGATTTTATAAAGCACAAATTAAACGTGTGATTGTTCATTTATTTGCAATCTTATTTTGTTTATGAGAAAAGAGTCTGAGGTGAACAGTGAGACAGTGAGTTGGATGTACAAAAATCATTACAAAACCCCAACATTCATGATTCATTCATAAAAAAAAAACATGTTTTTAACACAAAAAGCACTTTCCCTTTGTAAGAAATCATTTTTGGCCCTTGTATTCCAGAAGAATCTATAAAGTATAAAGCAAATACCAAATTAAGGTTACGTTTTGTATTATCTTGTCATTTGTAAATGCTGCCTCAAGTGTAAGAAAATGTAAAAGAAGGAAAAACCCATTTATTTCCCCGCAGCAGTGTGTTCGAACCCGAATCATATTTGTATCAACAGCTTTCTATTAGTGTGATTCATTTCACTCCTCGAGGAAAACGGCAGCTCCTCCACCCGGCTTTGATACAAACAGACTTTTTTTTTCCATCGTTGCTCTGCGTGGATCGGGGAGGTAGTAGGCTTCTCTCACAGCTTGTAAGAAAGACTCCACCCTCTCACTGGGAACCATGGAAACCGCACAGCCGCCCCAACCTGCCCCTGTCAGCCGGGAGCCCACAGCCCCCGACTTCCTGTAACCAAGAGAAACAAGAACAAGCTAGTGTTTCAGTACACTATCAGTGTTTCCAGCCATCAGTAGCTTTAATCATTTGATCATACATTCATACATTTTTGATGTTATTTAATATTTTCATATTTAGTGCTAGGTTACCAAGGTAACAATACAACTATATAAAGTCCATTACTGGGGGGAAAGGCAGACCGGGCTTGTATCCCCCAGGTGAGTGTGTGACTGTTGAATGATGATCTGTAAATATATAAATATATGAATGTATCTAATCTGAGAGAGAAAGTGATTATATTGAATTATTTTATTGAGACCGAGCTTGAATCCTCCGGAAGTGCTTGTGAGCAAATAAAAAAATAAAAAAAAGTCAATGAATCAACATCGGAGCTGTCTGTGTCTCTCTGTTGGAGTCAACCAGTCAGCTGCCAGCCATTACTTGCTGTTGTAAACTGTATACTCAGTGTAGTATATACTCTGTATAATTAGTATGTATTATGGGATTGGGATGCAACAAGTGAGCCAGAATTCACAATACCAAGACCTTGTGACTGAAGCAGCAATTCAGCAACACTTACAAATGACTCCAATATACTTAAAGTTGGCTGTTGTGAAAGAGATATTTTTTGTCAGTTAAATTTATAAAATTGCATTGCCTGATATCTCATCAATGTCTCTGCATCATTCTGTCCTGGGTGTAAATCTGTACTGGCAGTGGGTGAAGTGAGATTTTTCTGTACTCACAGACAGATGTCCACCAGTTGGTCCAGTTCAGTGCAGCTGCACTCATACAGGTCTCTGCAGCTTGCATGGCTCTGGTTCATCAGGTCTCCCAGCAGCCGTATGGACTCGGCAGGTTCAGAGTCGCACACGGTCTTAAACTGCAGCACCCGCGCTGCCTCACCATACACATGCTTGGCTCGCTGGTGCAGCTTGAAGTGCGTCACTGAAAGAGTTTGTTAAATTTATCTTTTATTACAAAGTAACCCTTAAGATATCATTACATTCTATTGATACTGAGGTTTGGCAAAATATACCATCACTTTTTAATCTTTAAAGTTCATTTACAGACAGGAGAAAAAAACAGATGTGTATGGTGCAATGCCATCAAGTCTAGGAAAATACAGATATCACAATACTGATGTAAGAATATGTCACCCAGTTCTATGGTGACATAATGAAGGCTGCAACTACCTATCATCTTCATTATCCATTATGATGATTATCAATTTAAATTTTTTTTAGTCTAGCAATAAGAATATATATAAAATAATAATAATGAAACAAAAATAATGACAAATGCCTATTACAAGTTACCAGTGGCCAAAAAAACACAAAGATTAAAGGTAGAAGAATATAAAACTAACAATAATAATAATTAAAGATAATTTTGCGGGATTTTTGTTCTGACCAAAAACTAACCAATTATAAAAATGTAATCAATTAATCTTCAAATCTACTAATTGACTAATTGTTCCAACATTAGACATAATTGAGTTCTGAAACATAAAAATACACAGACGTTACTGTGTGCTGTTGCTCACCATGCTGAGTGTTAGCGCTCAGCAGCTCTGTGGAAAACTGCTCGGAGGTGATACCCAGCACCTTGCAGATCTCCTCTCGGCTGTATGGCTCAGGATGCAACACCTCATCCACCAGAGCCAGCATCTCCTCCAGGGAGGCCTTCAGCGCCGTCTGGACCTCGGCCAGCTTCAACAACCTGCTCGAGTCCAGACCCCTCGCCTGGGCCAGCATCTGAGTTCACACCAGCCAGGACATTTTGTATCAAGTTTGATGGAATATTACACAGTTTTTACTCACATTTAAGCATGTGAGACTTTAACCATGTTGATATTTACACATATTTACTTGGTTTTTGGAATTTTAAAATATCGTTTTTCCCCTTTCACATAAATCACCCCTAGAAAATGAGGTTGAGAACCAGGGGTCGGGGTCAGCGTACCTTTGTGGCGATTCGACACTCCACCACACGGATATTGAAGTGAGAAGAAGCAGCTTTGTTCATCTCTACGCAGCAGTTGGAGATCACAAACACGGCCCCGTCTGGGAGCTTGACATCAGTGGCCCGCAGAGGCTGGAACTCTATCAGCTTTGCCTGAAAGAAAAAGTTTTAAAACTGATGAAACAGGTGCTCAACTGCTGCCTACATATAAAATTTACAACAAACCATAGTGAATAAATCATTATTCAAGTCACTACATGCATTTATTCTTACATTGTTTTGTATATTTATGGTTTGGATGAAAAAACGACTGATGAACTAGCATCACTCGTTTGACCTCATGTACAGGAGGGAAAGCTACATACAGTTCCTCTTTCTGCCAGGAATGAGATGGACTGGTCCATGCCACCTCCCTCTGTGCCAATGTAGCGCTCACATTTGGCACATATCTCAGCAAGGGCCACCTTTAATAATGACAGGTATCGACATTAGCATTACTTGTTTTAATTTACCAAACATTCCCTGACTAAAGCAATGCAAATATATAGTGCTTTGAAAACCAATGCTTCAATTGTAAAGCATTTTACCTTGGATAGAGACTTCTGATTTGCCTCCGTTGTTACAAGGCCAGCACAACAAACTAATGCGCTAGAACTGGACAGACCAGAGCTTGGAGGAATGGTTCCATCGACAACACACAACATCCCTGATAGATGTGCAATGCCAAATTTCTCCTGGAAATGAAAACACAGCAGGAAGGTTCATTACATAAACAGAACCAAAACTAAACTATCCTTTTATTACAGTACTACATACTAGATTCTTCAATCTGCCCTTGTCATGAATGAAGAATAAGAAGGACAAAATACTTGTCTTACCTGAATACCTTTAACTCCACAGAGAAAATAATAATGCCACTTTGGATTGTCTCTGTCAATGGCAATGTCCTCCAAACATGACACAGTGAAATCCCTGCAAAGTGAGAAACAACAAGCATTCAAAGGACAGATAATGATACTCTACATGCATTTTAAGCCCCTAATTAATCACACAGGCAAATGTAAAGGTTCAGCCAGGATCATGAATGTTATGTCTTACTTGTATTGAGGATTTGTGTTGGCCAGCTGGATCGTCCCTGAACTGTTCACTGACACAGCTGCAATGATACTCTGTTCAATAGCCATTGGAAGCACAGAATAGCCACAGTAATCAATGTGCTCTCCTGTTAAATATGAGAAATATGAAAAAGAGATATGTGAAATGGAGCCTTTAGATGAGACAAAATGTTTCAATTGACATTGGTTTAACACTTGTTACGAATATTTGAAGACTAAATCTGGTAATAGCCAATATTCAATATCTTTAAATTTGATTATAAAATTATATTTCCCTCAGATGTTTTTCTTGAAGGGAAGTAGATCCTCTCACACAGTATCTAAAAACTGAAACCATTCACTAATAGAACTAATTAAATTCCTTTTGAAAATACAAAAAACATTGAGCAGTTGGACAGTGAATAAAAATGTGAGGGTAAAACAGTATTTCATCGCAGATTTTAGGAGCCTACCAACTGTTGTGGGGTAGCGTGGTCTAAGAAGATCATTATATCATATCATATATTGTACAATTTTCTAATAAGGAACCCTTTTAAATTGGTTTATATGTTGTAAACATTGGCTTTATTAGTGGAGTCTTTTACTAATGATCGGCTAGCATAGCTAAGCCATTATTACAAACAGATTTTGGGTGCTGGGTTGTAATAATACATGAATTTCCCCAAGGGGATAAATAAAGTATCTATCTATCTACCTATCTACCTATCTATCTATCTATCTATCTATCTATCTATCTATCTATCTATCTATCTATCTATCTATCTATCTTTTGCAGCTCTTTAATTCTTCAGAAAGCTCCATGGACAGTTTGACTTGTTATCTTGTGAATCAGGAATACATGTATAAATATAAAGCATAAACTCCAGTCAAAGGGAAACTTTGGAAATCCAAAGGTTGCATTTATTAAGACCTTAAAACTGATCATTACAGACATTACTAAACAACTCTTTAACTATAAATAATGCCATTAGTTTTAACCATTTAAAAAGAATGCCTTAGAAAGTGCCCATCAGTCCTATATGCTAAATTTCACAAATAGGCTACATCAGTCTACTGTCTAAACCCACTCAAACCTCCTATGCAAAATTAAGTTACCTATTAGATTTACCCTTCCGGGTGCACATGCATAGAAGAGAGGAGATTCTCCATACTTTGTTTCAAAGGTATTTTTCAGGTTTTGCAGCCTAGGAAGAAAAAATAAGTAATGAAGTGATCAATCATTAGACAAAGAGTAAACTTCTTTTCCTCCTCTGCCTCCCCGACAGTTGGCACATAGTATTAAAACTCACCTTTCATTTGCAGTAATCGCAGTCTTTAACTTGGGTGGATTTGTGGCCATTTCTGCAAGTTTAAAGTAACTATGAATGGATTTCTTGTTGTCAGACAGCAGAGCTCAGAGCTGGTCACATATCCTGGCCACGATCAGCTGACTATCACAAGAGGATCCCGGATGCTAAGTCGCTGAACTGCGGTCAGTTTTAAAACAGGAACTCGGCTCGGTTTAACGTCGGTAAGTTCCTGTTTGTGACAGAGGAGCTGACTCTGAAGCAGCTGAGGCTGCAGCGGCATAAACACGGAAGAGACAAGAGGGCAGGGGGGCGGGTTCAACACAGTTCAACCAAAGCCCGTCTTTTTTTAGAAACTCTATGTTTTATATTTATATTTCATTATATAATTTGTCACATGTTTATAATATGTACAATGTTGTCTAGAATTGCAATGCACCATTTTACGAGCTGTTACCTGGATGTCTGTATGTTCCCAATGTTCAATGAAAAGAAGAAAACAAATGAGGATGAGTACTGTATATCATATATATTGCTTAATTCTTATCAACATATCTTTTTTTTCTTTTTCACTTCTCTGTTATTCTCTTGAAATTGTGGTTTAATGTATCTTAACGTATGACATTTGTAAAGAAAGAAATAAAAAAAAAGGAAAGAGAAATAAATAAATGGATGTCTGTTTGACATTGTGATCTAACCCTTGTTATTTTAAATTTTCTAAATAAAGTTAAAGTTAATAAATAAGAACTCCACCGTCCATCCACACATCTGGTTGGTCTCTGAATGTCAAACTCCCACACTCATTTCACCAGTTCATTTCCAAGGTAACGTGATGACTACACTACCCATAATTCCAGAGATTTTGTTACTATGGTAACATGGTTAGCTTCACAGATGCGGGGATGGCAGAACGACCAAAAAAAGCTGCTTCTTGTAATGGCAATTGCTGCGTGGGTTTCGTTGACAGTGAATACATATTAAACTGATGTATACGTGGTTAAAAGAAAGTTTCAAAAACCAGTGTGTTTGTTTGAGAGAGAATGTGTGTGTGTGTGTGTGTGTGTGTGTGTGTGTGTGTGTGTGTTTAAGACCTGCTGTGGTTTGGCGCTGCTAATGCGCGCGAGTTTTCAAAGTGGGCGAGTCCTTTGCTCTTAAAGAGGACGTTCAGTCGGCTAACCGTTGCTAGCTTTGTTCCTTACAAAGTTTACTGCTAGGTCAGAAGCATGTAAAGTGGTGTTAAACTTTTACTGGCTAACGAGTCTTTGATCAAACGTATTTGGCGTAGGTTTTTCAAGGCATGACCAAGTCGTTTTTAAGTCTTTGTCGGGCTCGTTGTTACGTTGTTGCTAAGACAAGCTAACATGGCCAGGTTAACGCTAGTTCGCTAGCGTCAATGCTTTGTAATGTAAACAGTAATGTGGCTGTTTATACAGTTCATACATTTTAACGTCACGCAAGTAAAGGAATAAGCAGCCAAACAAAGGAAACATCTGTCCCATTTTCACAGGTAAGCTTTGTGTCTGTTTTGACTGGTTAAATTACGATCACCATCGCAAGATCCGAGGGCTCGGGAATAGATGTTGTTGTGTCTAAGTATGTTACCCCTCACCTTAACATGAACCATACCTTATCTTATGATGCTCAAAATGACACCAACCTTACTCTAATCATCTCTGCTTGCTCCTGAGCCTTGGAGGCTACTATCCACCATCTAATATTTAGAGCGATCTTACACATAGTTGCTGGTTGTTTGTGATTTCCCTCCTATAAGTTAAATTCGTTTTTATCTCTTTTCCCAGCACACCTTACACACCAGCAGGCTGTGCATCATGTCTATTGATTTTGACAGTGCTGCTCTTCAAACCCAACACGAGGAGGAAGAATACGACCAGGAGGACTATGCAAGAGAGCAAGAGGTGCAGCACATGTAACTACAGGAGTGCATAGTTGGGATAACATTTCTATTACAATCATGTTTGTGTCTTGTGGTTGTGTGCCGTTGTGATTTGTTAAAGCTCTCCAGATTGCTTGATCAGCGGTAGTTTCTTGATTTTACATATTATCAAACTGCAGTGCACTATCCAATAGGTCAGATGACAGGATATATCCAGGGCATCATGAAATAGTGGCGAGATAACCTGTGGTATATGCAGTTCTCAAGGCATCATTTACCTCTACTTAAGTGATATCACAATTACTGGCTGATAATGTACATTTTCATGTTTGTGTACTTACCAAATGGTGATGTTCTCTTTTGAGAACCTTAAATTTATCAGGTTCTTATTTGTTTTTCTGAGGTAGTATTGTTGTTGTTTGGGGAAGCATTTGAGGTGTGCACTGTTTGAATTTCACAAGCCCGGCCAGCTTCACAGGCATGTGTTATTACTTACGCCTACAATCTGTTGCGCCATGAAGCTGAGCTATTATTGGCTCAAGGAAAAGTCCTCCTTCCAGGTGTGTCTCACTGAAACTGGCTCTGCCCTGTGGTTTCCCTACTTTCGCCCTATTTAGGTCACCTTCTTTCTGTGTTTGACCCCACTAGTACATGAATAGAGCAAGCATGAAGAAACCCAGAAGAATGGTACTTTGACTATTGATTCTTAAATGGATTTCTTTCTTTGGTATAGCCTATTTATTATGCACAAGTTGGCCAAGTGGAACATGTTTTCTACTGGTAATTGGAATGTTTCTGCTCCAGTTAATCTTGCTATATGTTTTGTCCAAACAATGGAGTTCTTTGGGAGCAAAACATAGCAAAGCCGCTGGGAGCTGACAGCATGCCAGGCACGTTTTGGATGTTTCACACAGAAGGTCTTCAGTGCAGACAGATTAGGCTAGAAGGTTATCATGTGGCTTCACAGCTGAAGCAGAGGTGCCTCTTCACTCTTGGATAAATAAGTGGGATAATATGGGTCCTTCGGTTGTGGACACAGTGGAGGATTTGAGGAATATTCAACGGTCCTTGTGGGAAGTAAGTCCAGCTGGCTCTGCTTGTTCCATCTCACAGAGCTGGTTGTAAAGCAAGCCTGGTCAGTCTGTTACTGACACAGAGGAGAGCTCTCCTTGTTGTTTTTGTGTCAGAAAGAGCTAAGATGTTTTTACACCGAGGCAACAAGACTTCACGACTGACTGTATCTGAAATGACTTAAATGACTTGATTATGTAAATCGTTAGCAATGAGTTTTCTGTCAGTCAACTAATCGAATAATAGTCAATTATTTTTAGCTGTTTCCAGAATGAGATATACATACTTGCTGAAAAATTGCATGGCACATACAATAGCAAGATGATTGTGCACATGAAGTCCTGTGCAGTATTTTTATCAGCTACATTGAGCTGTATTCTTCTCAAGATAACAGAATCTCACTTCTGTTTCTCATTCTGTCAGGTGTTTGCTATTCTGAGATTTTTTTTTCTAGTTCTTTTTTACTTTATAACTCAGTTGCGGAGCAACCTTGGTGACTCATTTCCATGTGCTGTTTTTCCACAGCTGCACAAACTGCTCACAGACCTGCCTGATGACATGCTGGAGGACAGCAGAGACTCCTCCTCTCCAGAGCTGGAGTACTCTACCCGCAGCAATAAAAACACTGGCAACAGGTAACAAACATGTTGCTGCTGACACAAAAATAATCTCAGATTTGGAGAATTCAGGGTGTAGTTCTAGACAAGAAGCTATAACATGACCGTATTATAATATTTATGTTTTGTTTTTTTTGCCCTCTCTACTCAGCCCACAGTCCACATGGACTCAGCAATGGTCAATTCAACCAAGGCCAGTCTCTCATGAACAGGTAGGATGTTAGTTTGTTTTCACTGATAGATCTTTTGTTTTCTGAACTTCTAAAGAAAAAAAAATCACTTACTGTCAATGTCTCTTTGAAGAACTATGAAGCTGACTATGACCAAGGCCTTCATGATGACTACACTTATGAGGATGACGTTGTTCAGATCAATGGACATCGGAGGAATCCTCAAAGTCAACCTCTGCCTCACACCTGGAACCAGCAGTCAGAGGATCACCATTTCACCCAGGGAGATTGTACATACACTAGCATGGGCACAGAGAAGTCTACAGAGACCAATGATTTCTCCACAGATGAGTATGAGTCTAAACCATACCCTCAAGGCACTAATAACCACGTCGAATATAACGGAGAAGTAGGATACAGAGACAAGCAAAGCCATACCAGAAACCATTTTCAGGTGAGTGGACTATTTCATCATTGCAAACTGATAAAATAACAGCAGGGTCCTACATGTGTTAAAAATACACATTTCAAAATATTTGGTGGTTCATTGCAGTGATGGCTGAACTTGTCTCAATGTCTCAATTGGTTCATGCTTGTGTTATTGAACGCCTAATATTTTTGATTCAAACATGCTTTGTTTTTTGTTCTTGTTCCTCTGAATTTAAAGCCTGGAACTGGGGACAACACTGTAAATCAGTACAAGGCCAGCTACAATCCTCACCATCCTGCCCATCAGCCAAAGATGTTTAACTCGCAGGCCACTCACCAAGGTGGCCAGTTTGACCATCTGCAAAGAGAATTCCTTGACTCGACACAACGTGAGTCTTATGGTCTTGATTTTAGTTCCTGGATTAAAAGCACATGACTATAATAAAAGAGACCTTTAGGTAATTTGCTGAACTGGATGAGAAAAATCTGTTCAAGTGAAAAATCGGAATCTGGAGTATTCTGTTGTTTGCAACTGCCATTGTCAAAGTGCCATTGAGCAATACATTTACTTTACACTTTAGTTGTTCTATAGACAGCAGTACAAAAATTAGCTTCTTTTGACTCAGAAAGGCTGTGAAAGTGAGCCAAACTAAAAAATAATGAGCCGTGTTCATGTATCAGCCATATCAACTATCATGAACCACCGTGGAACTGTTATTTCAGATCAGCAAAGTTGCAGTTTGCCATTGAGATTCATCCGCCTCCGGCCAAAACAAACCTGAGATACTGCACAGTGATCTGAGGGGAAACTGTGAGCTCAGTATTTAGTGTCTTTAGTGACTTCTTAAAAAATTCCTTGTGTAGAAATGTTAAAGGACAAAATTCGTCAGAGATTGTTCCTCTTATATTTCTGTGTCATGTGGAGGTTATTCAGTAGCTTTTATAGGCTTAATATCCAACCTTTTTTGGATGATATTATCCATCAAGATGTATAGACATGAAGCTCTTGGT